ATCAAGTTTCGTTTGCTTTTTTTAATTACATTTAAGCAATAAAACACTGTATGTACTTTTTTTTTGGCGGATTTAAAGATGGCGGACATGCCTTTGAAATAAAAAACAATAACAAACATTATATTAATAAAATATTATATATATGTCTTGTTATCAACGAAAAAACAACAGAGTTTGAAGAACTAGTGAATATAACTTTAAATTTTTCAAGAAAATGGTAAATGCTCAAGAGTTTAATGCCTACAAGGCTCAACAGGAACAAATTATTGGAGATCTGAAACTACAAATTGAAAAATTAATAACTGATAATATGAATTAAACAAAAAGAGTAGATGATTTAGAAATGAATAAATCAAGTACCAGTCATATAAATAACTATGTAACGTGGGCAAACATGGTAAAAAAGTCACCGGAACAAATGCTTATGATAAACTCCGTTACTAGTGAGAAAAAAGAACGAGAAAGAAGAGAAAACAATGTAGTTTTTTTCGGAATTAAACCATCGGAAAACGAAGAAAAGAGTAAAGAGAAAGAAGAAAATAGACGAGCTATAATTAATGTTTTTAAAAAATTGCAAGTAACCGTTAATGTTCAAAATTTTATGAAACTAAAACCAAGAAACACTAATAATCAAGCCCCATTTGTTGTCATAGTGAAAAATAAAAGAGAAAGGAACTCTATCTTAAAAAAAGCCAAAGAGTTACGAGTTTCGAAAGAATACGAGAATGTCTATATAAATCTCGATTTAACGGAAAGTGAAAGGTTTAAATCAAAGTTTTTAAGAGAAGAATGCAGAAAGAAAAACAAAGAGAACATCGAAAACGAGTTCTACTATGGAATTCGAAATGAAAAAGTAACAAAAATCAAAAAGTTAGTTGTACAACTTAAAAAGATTTCATATGAAAAAAGACTGAAAGCAATGGGTTTAACAACATTAGAGAAAAGACGAGCTAGAGGAGATCTTATACAACAATACAGATTCAAGCAAAATATAGACCAAATAAATTGGTACAAAAATCCAAAACCGGCATCATCCGTGACTAGTTCAGGCCCGGCTTTTTCTGTAAGGGGCAATAAATACAGGCTAGAAAGAAAATAATTTCTTTACCAATCGAGTTTGTAAAAATTGGAATTTGTTACCAAATGAAATCATTGAAGCAACATCGTTGAATGTTTTCAAAGCGCGAATAGATAAACATTTTTCATAACTTGTGTTTTTTAATTTGTGTGGGCTGTCTATAACCCGATGCTTGCATCGCGTTCCACAATTTATTTTATTTTTTAAATATTTATATTTAAACAAATTTGTAATTGTTACAGCAATAAATATTACTACTACTAATACTATTACTAATAGGCTGTTTTTTATGTTCACTCGTTCTTTAGAAGTGGTAACCAGCTAGAAGTCGTAATCTGCTCGTATGAAAGGATTTCTCGACGTGAAATTGTTAATTTTATTCAACAACGCCAAGAAACAGAGCTCGCTTAAGAAACAGAAAAGAAAGAGAAAGATGAAAAAAGATTCTGTTGAACAATACTATTGTTTTATTTATAAATTATTCTCCTATATCTAAATATATAAAAGATGTAGAAAATGCTTCCTCTTTTATATTGACATCTAAAAGAGGTTTTTTTCTCGGCATCGGAAAAAGCTTTTTGTCATACTTTGTATGAAGAGCTATTATCATTTTCATTTGAAAAAAATAGCTTTTCATATAAGAAAAGTAGGAATACTATAGTGTATAGGATACTATAGTATACTAATAAGTATGGCAAAAAAGCTGTTCCGACCCCCCAAAAAAACACTTTTTTAAATTTGCATATTCGACTAAAAAAAGGCGTCTTAAAGGCGCATTTTTTATGTCTTTTCATGACAAGATTAAGATAAAAAAAGACGTCTTTTCAATGTCGAAAAAAGATGTCTTTTAGATTTGCATAATCGATTAAAAAAGACGTCTTTAAGACATCGTAAATAAGACTTTTGAAGACGTCTTTTCGACGTCTTTTTTCCCACTGGAAATATAGTATAAATATATTGCAATCAGTAACGTAGCTAGTGGGTTAGTAGCCCCTCCCCAAAACTTTACGGCCCCAAAATCTTTAAAATTTTTCCACTAGGTATTGCTATATAAAAAAAGCTCTATAAATTTGCAAAAGAACTTAAATTTCCAAATGGGCCCCTTAAAATTGCTGCGTCCCCTTCCCCCATTTAGGTGTGGGGAAGCCTAGCCACAGTTCTGAGAACAATAAAATTTATGTAAAGGGACAATCCAAATTATACAAGACTCATTCAAAGCAGAAACCTTGTAAGAAAACAAACAAACAAAATAACCTAGTTGTATAAATTAATAATAATAAAAAAAAAATACTACTAATAAAAATATAATAGACAAACACAACACATCGACTAAGGAATAAAATTTAAAGTCATTTTTATATAATAATAACAATAATAAAAATAGTAATAGTAAAAGTAATAACAATAATAACAATAATAATAATAAACTTAATTTGAACCATTTTTAAAAAACTTTTTATTCTTTTCTTTTGATGACATATAGGGTAAGGTTGCGTAAGATGAGCAGGATCCTAAGATGGTTTAACCTCTTTTACGGGTAGACTAATGATATTTTCGCAAACTTTTTTGGTTAAGGATATTCATACAAGTTCGAAGGTGTTATTCATTTTAATTTATTGGTTGTTTAGTTAATATTCTTTGATTGTTTTTCTGTTAAAAAAATTTACCATCCCCGTTATAATTTTTTATTATTCAATATTTTGTAATTACGTCAGAACGAAGCAAGATCATCAAAAATTTATTACATTCTCAATATTTTGTGCTTATCTACTACTAATTCCATGGGTTACTTGAGATAATATGATAATACTTAATGAAGTTGCTTAAGATGATACGTTTTAAGTAAAAAGTAATTATCTCAACCATAAAAAAAAAACAATAATAAATTTTTCCATTCTTTAAAAAAGTTAACGATTCTATTTTTAAAAAAAATTTCGCTCTTGAAATACCAAAATAATGCTCCGCGAAGAATAACTTTAAAAAAACGCGCTTTTCTTAATAAAAAGTCATATCTCATCTTGAGCGCTCAAGATGAGATACGACTTTTTATTAAGAAAAGGGCTTTTTTTTTAAAGTTATCTTAGGAAACTGGTTTCTTAAGATGAAATGATTAGGAGTGTTGAAGAAAACGCAATTTTTGGTATAAAGATTTTTTTTAAATGAATTATTTATTTTCCATTGAGAGGTAAGATAAAATTATTATTATTCTTAAAAAAATATATATCTTTTTGTAATCTTTTGGGAACAAAATATATTACACTGAAAACTTACGCAAAAAACACGCTCAACTTACGCAACCTTCCCCTATTTAATGGGAAATAAGTTAAGTATTAAAAATATTGAAATACCTGTATTTTTGGATGTATTTAAACTACAGAGATGATTAAAAAATTTTTAATTAAGTTCGCGATATGGCTTAAAATCCTTAAATATAGTTATACAGGAGTTAAGGGTTGTTAAATATATATCATATCTTACAACATATCAATCAGATATATCAAATACAATACTTTACATTATAGTTTTTTTTCTTTTTTGGAGAGATGTCATTTTCATGTAAAGTCATAGTCAAAAAAAAGACTGTGATAAAATCAAATAAAAGTAATTCCACGTGACGCAACTGTTTGCTGTTGTTTTGCTGTCGTTATTTACAAACTAATTAACTAATAGCCCGATTATCTTTGCTTTTAAACAACGCGTAAATTACGTATTTATAAATGGACGTTAAACGTTCATTTAATAATACCTCTTTGAATAAACTTACAAGACTTGTTGAGATTGACTGCAGCAATGCGTAGGAAACAAACAGTAAAAAAAGTCACTATAGTGACTTTTTTTACTGTTTGTTTCCTACGCATTGCTTAGGAAACTTGCATTTTATTCTTATTTTAACTAGTTAGTAATCTAATTATTAAAGGATTTCCAGGCGTTGAGAGTATATATACTCTCAACGACCAGTTAAGAAACGCGAGGCCGTTGGGAGGCCTGGACATCCTTTAATAATTAGATTACTAACTAGTTAAAATAAGAATAAAATAAGCCAACTTTATTATTCCGGTACATACGCTTCTATATAAAATCTTTTATAAATTTTATATCGTCTTAATATATTTGACTCGTATTAGGCCATTAATTATTGACAATAATAATGCTTAAGTAAATTGTTCAATCAGTTAAAAACTAAATTTAGAATTGAAATAACAATACAAAATGTAAAAATATAGAATGCAATTTACATATATTCGAAATAACATCCTCACCAAGCTTTTGAATGATTTTATTTTTGTTAGACTTCTAAGTTCCACTAACGGTTTTAGGAATTGTTTATAAATTACGTCACGCTCTGAGGGGATGCGGGAAGGGGTTAATAGTTTTGCTACAACTCGTACGATATTTGTTACTAAGGAGAAGGAGAGGGTCTATACAATACATAAAATAATTTATATATTTTATTGAATATATATACATTCAATAAAAAAATTATAAAATAATTTTAATTTCAAACGCCTACAAAAACTTTTAACATGCTTGAGTAAATTTTAATACCTTGATGTTGTTATTTTATATTACATCTTTAATTAAATATTATTAGAACTTCAAAAAAAAAATTCAATTTTCAAATGTAAAAGAGTTGACTTCGATGATATGAATTTCAAACCTTTGAATGATATTAATTTGTTTGGGTTGTTACTGCTGAAAAAAAATGTTTTTTTTTCTTCCTAGATAGTGTATTCTATTTTTCTAGAGTCAGATATTATTTTCTGTTGCCATCATTTCAGTTCTCCTATTTATGTTTTATTGTTTTTAATTTGTTGTTATTTTTTTTTTCAATTTTTTTTTTCAATTTTTCATTTACTTTTTCAACGATATATTTTTTTAAAAGATTCTCATACTCATTTTTCTTCTTCTTTTTTTTTTACATGTCGAAGTCTTAGAATTATTTTATTCTCTACTTTTCGAAAAATTTGAGTTAAAACTTTTAAAAAAGCTTTTCATATGCCGTCTCCTAAAGTTTTTATTTTTTAAATCGTATTATTTAGAACAAAATTATTCAAACCGTAAGATCTGTGTATATAAAAAAAGATAAAACTTTTTTGTAAGTTATTTTTAGAGTATGTCTGATCTACTTAAGTGATATTTATTTTAATATTGACAATTTATGTTAATTTGATTAGTTACTTTGATATTGACCGTTGTTTTTAAAAAACCTCGTCTTCATTTTCTTTCATTTTAAAATACTTTAATTATAATCATTATCTTATTATTAGCTTAGCGTCATTCAAATTGTTTATCCAAGTTTTTGTTCAAGTGACATCATCCTTAACAGTCTGCAAATTACATTAGCTATTTTTATTTTAGTACTGTTAATGTAATTATTAACATTGTTTTTGTTGTATAATAATTTTTAATGTAACAATTGAAAAATAACCATCTTGTTATCATTAAATTATATCTAAAATTCTACTCAACGGCTTTATGCTTTTTTGTTTGTTTGTTTTTTCATTTTTCAGGTGAAAAACCAATTCTTGTTGAACTCTAATTTCATTAACAAAATAAGGCCTATGCGAAAAACATTTGTAAATAAAATTTTATCCCTGCTGATATCACCCTCTGATACTGTTTTCTTTTCTGGTTTAACTTGTTCATGCTTATGGTAAGTATGTTTATGCATGTTAACTAGATAACCATTAACCCTAAAGGGAATGTCTGTGGTTCGAGACCTGCCTCTTCCTGAAATTTTTGTGTTTTTTTACACACGCTTACGGCCGAATCCTAATAAAATAGTAATACCAGAAAAAACTGATCGGAAAATTTGTGTTTTAGTAACATATATTGGTTTTTGAAAATTCTTTTTTAATTTTACTTGCGCCACGGCTGCTCGTGTATGTATCAAATATGATCTTTTATGATTGTTTATTACTAGTTTTTTTTCATAATAATCTCTTTGTTTTTCAGAGTTCCTGAATTTTTTGCAAAAGTTGAGTAAAACTTTGTATTTTGTATCAACTATATTTAATTATTATGTATCAGAATAAATTAGAAATAGAATAAATTAGAAATAATTAATAACACTTTAGTGTTTTTACGCACTTTTTCAAAAGATTTTAGCTAAACTGTTGAGTAAAATTAATCTAAAGACTCAAAAATGGTGTTCTTTAGGTTCACTTTTAGGTGTAGTAAAAAAGTTTTGAAAATTGTATAAAAAAAAGAAAATCTTCTTTAAACATTATAAAAATCTAAAATAAAAAAAAAAATAACAACATCTAAAGCTCCTGTTGACATAATACTCTGACAAAACCATTTCAAATAAAAAAATTTAAATAATTTAAAAATCGCCTTAAATTCTCCGAGGAAAGACAATAATTAAAATAATTATGGTTGTAATAGCAAATGTATTAATTATAATAATAAACATTGGAATCACAGTAATAACAATAGTCAAAAACATTACCAATAATAATAATGATAACAGTAAAAAATATGTAATAATAAAAAAAATGTCGCTTTTTTTACAAACGCGATAACTACATATACAAAGTTAGACAGGTACAAACAGTTAAATATATAGATAAAAGGTCAAAACTAACATTGACATAAAATATTTATTTAAATACAAAACAAGAAAATAGAAATAATAACAATAAGAAAATTTATAACAATAATACCAATGATAACAATAATTATAATAGAAAAAATAATAATAAAAAAATTATAAATAGAAAAATTATATTTAACATCAAAAGAAGTTATACTATAAAAGTAATACTATAAAAACAAAACTGACAAAAAACTTAACAAAAACAATAAAAAAAATGTATAAAATAAAGAAAATGTTTGTGCATACACAAACGTAAATGTACACATATAATTTATATGTATATATTATTATTTTATATATATTAGTATATATATATATGTATATATTATTATTTTATTATGTATATATTATATTTATATGTAAATGTACACATACAATTTATATGCATATATCTTTATTAAAGATATATACATAAACATACATGCACACGAATGCACACACTCATATACATATGCATACAGAAATACACACCTGCGCGCCTACATACACACGCATAAAAATGTATATATAGAAAAACAGTTTAAAAATTTAAAAGTAAACCGACCAACATTGACCCTCCCTTATTTTTTAAATTACGGCTTCAAGTCTAACTTTTTTTTCTAAAATGGTCTATATGTTCTAAGTGTAATATATATATATATATATATGTATATATATACGTGTGTGTGTATATATATACGTGTGTGTGTGTATATATATATATATATATATATATATATATATATATATATATATATATATATATATATATATATATATATATGTATGTATATATATATACTCACACACATAAAGGGCAATTATATATATATATATATTATATATATATATATATATATATATATATATATATATATATATATATATATATATATATATATATATATATATATATATATATATATATATATATATATAATTGCCCTTTATGCTTTGTCCCGCAATTTATTCAAAAAGTTATTATTTCGCAGGGGTATGTTTATTATTTGTTTTTAATGTGAAAAAATTTTTGAAAATAATGAATTCTAAATCATTCTGACATTGAAACATAAAACAAAGAACTTTATAAACTTTTATTTCATATATAAGAACTTTAATGTCTTTGAATAACATTTTTGTATGCACAAAACAATTTTGAAAACATAATAAGCACATCGCGTGTTTCTGCCAATGATAAAGAAGTCGCAATTTACTTTTGCTAATACTTCCCCTAGCAATATTTGCATAGTTGATAAAACTATATATAAAGGAATAGTAAATTTGCATAATTAGAATAATTATGTATAAGTGAATAGTAAACAAATACAGCTGATACAACAAATACAGTTGCAACAAATTGATTTTTATGAAAAGAGCAGGAGATTTTCTGTACAAGTTGTATAATTCCGTGCTCCGTTGAACTATTTATTTTAAAACCAAAATTATTATTGCATAAAACTATTCTTTCTAAAATTTTTGAAAATATAGGAAGGATAGAAATAGGACTTACAAGTAAATAGTAGTTACTAACATTTGTTTTGTCGCCGTTTTTGTATATTGGAATAACTTTTGCAATTATCAATTGTCTGGAAAAAATCCTTTGTCTAAAGATGCTTTGGAATCTTTAAAATAGAATATCCTTTAAGCTTTCGTAACAGCTTATTCCCAACCAGTACAAACACGTGTTTTTAGAATCTAAAATGTTAAGACCTATAGATGTCTAAATTCAGATTACTATGAAACATCCAATTGTATTTATCTTTGAGACGACAAATAATAGCTGTCTCAAGTCGTCTAAAAGGTGACTACTAATAGATGTCTTATATTTATCTGAATTTAGACATCTAATAGTGTTAACATTTTAGATGCTAAAAAAAAACGTCTAAAAGACGTGTTTGTGCCGGCTGAGTTATTCTTTCATAACAGATTATTATAACATTTGTTTGGTCTGCCCCAATTCCTTTATTTTTCTTAAAAGATTGGAATGCTCTTTTAAACTCATTAAGAGAAAAGTTAAATGATAGTTCATCATTATGATATAAACTGTCGTTAAATGAAATTTCAGTAATCGAAACTTTATTTGAAAGAGTAGAACCAATTCTCGTGAAGTACTTATTAAATTTTTCACCGGTTCACTTAGGCTTTTATATTCGTCCATAATCTTTTTTGACAGAGTGGTTTTCAAAAAATTATATGATTGTAATTTAGTAGCTGTTCTTTAAAGAAGTCTAAATTATTTTGGTTAAAAACGCGTTCTCTAAATATTTTATTTTTATTTATTTCATTTGTAGATATTGTGTTCAGGGTTAAAAAAATAATGGTTTGATATATCGGATTTTATAATTCCTTTTTGCAATTCGTTTTAAAAAATATCAGTTGTAATAATACTATTGATAAGTTATTTGTCTTATTGTAATGTTGTGTGGGCTAGTACTAGCCATACAAAACTAAAGAAACTCTACAATAAACAAAAACATGCATGTAGAATAGTATTTGGAGCCGACAGAAATGTTCCTTGCGAACCACTTCTAAGTGTGCTCGGTGCTTTAAATGTATATAAACTCAATTTACACCAAGTTTTATTGTTTATGTTTAAAACAAAAAAGGAATTGGCTCCTAAAATATTTCAATCTTATTTTAATAAAATTAACCATAGGTACTCAACAAAGTTTTCAGAAATCAATTTTGTTGTTCCAAAACATAAATTAAAATTAACTTCCTATTCAATTAAATACCGCGGACCTTATCTGTGGAAGAAATTTCCAGATATTGTTAACAAAAAGCAGACTACATTAGAGCAATTTAAGGATGAATCAAAACGATTATTTTGTTCATGGATCTCAATAAATCCGACTTTAAATGTTTATTTTAAAGTAAACACAATAAAAAAAAATAAAAAAAAACAGATTCAATTATATCAATGATATATGATAATATGAATAAGAAAAGAAAGAAAAAGGAAAAAAAGAAAAAAAAAAAAAAAAAAGAATAAGAAATCCAAGTGATGATGTCACAAGTGATGATGTCATAAGTGATGATGTTACATATTCATTTAGTGTTAATTATGAGATTTTATTTTTTCAATTTCATTTATATTCAGGAATTTTTTTTTTTTTTTTTTTTTTATATTAACTTATTTCTTAAACATTTTAGCAACTGTTAAGCATCTTAACGCTTCTTAATTAATTCTTATCTTTTATTTTTTTTATTATATTAGTTATTTTCTATTTCATTAATTGTTTCTTTTATATATATATTTGTATGTTACGGTTATGTAGAATTTTTAATGGGGCTCGGCGATAAGGCGAAATGTGCCTTCTTCTTGCTCCATCCATCAATTTATATAAAATATATGCAATGTAAACATTTTTTAACGGCGAAATAAATTACACTAAAAAAAAAAAAAAAAAAAGAGTGGTAGACCTGTTAGTTACTCTAGTTGGGCGGTTGATTAGAGGTATTCTCCTGCTATAAAAATTTCATCTTAAAAAAATCATCAATATATGTTAAATAGTTTTTAAAAACTAAATAATCAAAAGAATTGTTCTTTTTTCGTTTTGAAGCTTCCAGTAAAAAAAATTTTTTGGTTGTAAAGTTCTTTTTTATTACTATTTTCCATTTCAAAATTTATTTTTAACTTTTGTTTCTTGTAGGGTTTTTTTTTCTGTTAATTTTTTTCTTCAGTCATTTTATTCGGTTATTTTCTCTTGTTTTTAGTTTGTTTTTTGTTGCTTTTTTTATTCTTATATTTTAAAAATAACTTTTTTTTTTATTCCTTTACACTGTTAAAAAACACCTCCGTCATTTGCGATGTCATTGATGTTTTACAAACGTCACAGTTTGCGATAGTTTCAGATCGTACAAAATCTAAAAAAAGAATTAAGGATTACTTATTATTCACCAAGTAATAAGTTTTAATTATTTGTTTAATTTGATTGCATAACTTCCTTTTTAAACCTATAAATTCTTAGTAACCTTTAAATATTATCATACTTGTCAGCAATAACATTACTCTTGATGCTGCTTGGGTGTGAAGCAACTTTAATTAAATGTGTGTGTTTTATATATAAGATGTCATGAAAAAGTAGGTCTTGCAAACAAACAACTATTAAAGTCCGTTCATTACTTTAATTTAGAAAAGTGAAAACTAAAAAGTGTAAACCTGTAACATTTTACAGCAACTTTAAAGATGAGCATACTACTACTATTGATGGCAATATGTGCAACTTTTTACCCAGAAGGTATTTTTTGATTATATAAATGTGATGCAATGCGTTAGCATCCTTTCAACTTTCGGATGAATCAAATTGTAAATTAATTTCAATTTATTCTCAAAATGAATTCTTCGCCTAAAAACATGGTGGTGCGTTCGTGAAATTTAAAATGCTTTTTTTATTTTTAAAAATTACTTTAACGCTTTAAGTTTTTTAACAAAAATAAAATTTTTTAACTAAAACAAATAAAAAATAGGACACAAACCTATAGTTTACCTTTTTAAAGTTAAATTATATGGGTATGGAAAAATAGTCTGAAGGCCCCTTTTTTTTTTATTTCATTTTATATTTTGGTGTTAAATTAAATTACAGATGATTTTTACATGGTAAATATCAATAAATACAATAATTTAAAGACAGACAGGGACTCAAAGAAGATATGGATGATGCAATATCACCTCAATCTTTTCATTGAGCCCCTTAATAAAATATTGAAAAAAAGAGTTAATTAAAAAGATATAAAAGTAATAAAATAAAAAATATAAAATTTTGTTTGAATCATTTTTTCGTCTTTGCTTTTATAATCAGTTTTTTCTATTTGGTTTTTTCGAATTTTATAGCGCATGCTGCAGAAATCTATTCATTGGAATCTCTTAACTATCCACAATATAGAGTTGGCATCAGAAGTGATGCAACAGCAGCTATTATCATATATGGTATTGAGAAATTTCGCATCGTAAAAGGTTAGACCAAAAGTACTTATCTATTAGTTTTTTAGCTGTCCATAACATAGTTCATTTAACAATGTAGTAAAATAAGTGTTTTCCGTTTTTTTTTTTGTCAATAACCATGTTGTCAGTGATTTTATATAGCTGGTATCTTTTGTTGCATGTTTTTAAAATTTGGTAGCATTTTAGCAGTTTTTTACATTTTAAGTATTAAAACTTTAAATATAACTTGAAATATTGAGACTTAATATAAAACTCGACATATTAAAACTTAATATATAACTTGAAATATTAAAGCTTAATATATAACTTGAAATATTAAAATATAATATTTATTTATTTATTTAATTATAACTGTGTACATGTGCAATGACAATGTACGGAGCCTAGGTGATCTAGGCTTAAACAGCCGATTTATGTTAAAAATAAGTCCAACTTGATTTAAATTGTTTAAGTGTTTTAGAATCTACAATGTTTTGATCTAAGTTATTCCAGCTGTTAATAACACGGTTTGTTAAGAAATAGTACCTCTTTGTATTTTTAGTTAATTGTCTATGAATTGTCTTATATTGTGACCTCTTGTATTTGAAGCTATTAAATCTGGTGGGATTCCAATGTTAAATTCGTATTTGAAGCTATGAAATCTGGTGGGTATTCCAATGTTAAATTTGTATTTGAAGCTATAAAATCTTGTGGGTATTCCAATGTTAAATTATCTATTTTTTTACTATTTTGTAAAGTTGGATTAGGTCATTACGTTCGCGTCTTTTTTTAAGAGTCGTTAATTTAAAGTAGTTTAGTCTACTTTCATAGTTTTTCCCTTAAAATATTGAAACTTAATATATATCTTGAAATATTATTTTTTCATAGTTTTTCCCTTGAAATATTGAAACTTAATATAAAAATTGAAATATTGAAAATTAATGTATAACTTGAAATATTAATTTAACTATAGTTTTTAGGTTTGATTATTTTTTATTTCTTCACGATATCTTTTACTTGTAACTTTTATTTTATTTTTGACTGTCTCTTAAATATTGTAATAAATATTGTGATAAAAAACAAAAAAAAATTAAAATAACGGGAGGCTGCATAAGTGCGAATTGGCATAAGTGCGAATTGACATAAGCGCGCCAAATAAATTTGCAAATATTGGCATAAGTGCAAATTGGCATAAGTGCGAACTGGCATAAGTGCAAACTGGTATAAGTGCGAAGCAATTACAAAAACTGGCATAAGTGCGAACTGGCATAAGTGCAAATTGGCATAAGTACGTCGAATAAAAAAGTGCAAGTTAGTATTTCGCACTTATGCCAATTCGCACTTATACCAGTTCGCACTTATGCCAATGTTTGCAAATTTATTTGGCGCACTTATGCCAATTTGCAGTTATGCCAGTTCGAGTTTTTGTAACTGCTTCGCACTCATGCCAATTCGCACTTATGCCAGTTCGCATTTGTGCCAGTTTTTGTAACTGCTTCGCACTTATGCCAATTCACACTTATGCCAATGTTTGCAAAATATTTTGGCGTACTTATGCCAATTTGTACATATGCCAGTTTGCACTTATGCCAGTTTTTGCAACGCTTTGCACTTATGCCAGTTCGCACATATGCCGATACGCGCTTATGCCAGTTCGCGCTTACGCCATTTGCACTTATGCCAATTTGCACTTATGAAATTTGCGCTTATTTAGTCGTCCCTTATAATAATAGTTTTTACTATTTTATTTTGGTTATAAATTAGTAACTAATCTTAACATACTTGCCAATACTTGTATATAATTTTTTACCCTAAGGTAGAAATTTCTTTTTTTTTTATATATATATTTACATTATATACAAGTATTTGCAAGTATGTTAAGATTAGTTACTGATTTGTAATCAAAATAAAATTGTAAAAATTATTATTATAATTTTTTTAAGTGTGTATGTTTACCTTTAAATGATTTTAAACGCTTGCTGACGAAATCACTACCCCGCGTAGTAATAAGGCAAATATTGTCTTATTTTAGTCCGTGCCATGTAGATTTTACTTATATAACACGAAATTGCATTCTTTTTTACTTACGAAATAAATAAATAAGTTTAAAATTTATTTAAAAAAATATATTTCTTTGTTCCTTATGGTGAGGGCTTCGTCACATATTGCATATTTGTAACTAACATTATTTTACTATAAATTATGTATGTAACTTTTACCTTTTTTTTTTTTTGTTATTTGTGAATATATAAAGTGTAATTATAGCAATTAACGGGCAAGCCAATGCAATATCTCTTCAGTCGGTGAAAGAAAACAATAAGTACCTTCGTCATCAAAACTTTATTTTCAAGTTGCATTCAGCAGATTTTAATTCTGAACTCTATAAAAACGATGCTTCTTTCATCATTCGTGAAAATAAATATTACCCGCGCTACATTTCCTTTGAATCAACAAACTACCCAGGTTATTTTCTTAGACATCAAGATTTTACCGTAAAGTTGAATAAAGAAGAGCCAAATGTCGAGCTCTATCGAAAAGATGCAAGTTTTAGACTTGTTCAGTTGGGAATTTGTAAGTCAATAATTTGTTTGTAAAAAACTGTTTTTAAAAAGGAATTTTTAATTTTAAAACAGAATTTGGCTTTTTTTTTTTTTTTTTTTTTTTTTGAAGACTTAGTTTCTTTATTTTATATTTTCTGAAAACAATTAAATTTTTGATTTTTTTTACTAACATTTTAACAGCTCTCATTGGAACGCGATACTCGTTCCGATCCAACAATTACCCATCGTATTGCATAGGCATAAGAGAAGATGATACTGCAGCTATTCTTTTAAATAACTGGCATGAATTTAGAATTGTTAAGGGTATGGCATGTGAAAATTGCAATAAACATTTATTTTTATTATAAACATGTTTCATAAATACATTTTTCTTATATTTTTTTAAATATTTGTTTTTTGAGTTTTTGTTTAGCACTTAACGGACGAATCGACTCAGTTTCTCTTCAGTCTACACAACAAAGCAACAAGTACCTTCGTCATCAAAATTATATTCTTAAGCTACATCCAGTTGATATTCATTCTGATCTCTATAAGAACGATGCTTCATTTATTATTCGTCAAAACTATTATTATCCCGGCTACATTTCATTTGAGTCTACGAACTACCCTGGTTATTTTCTAAGACATCAAGACTATACTGTAAAGTTGCAAGTCGAAGAACCTTTTTATGAACTTTACAGAAGAGATGCAAGTTTTAAATTAAACACTTTTGTGTAAATGTTTTATTGTTCTTCTCTTATTTATGAGTGTAAAGCTTTGTTGACATGTTATGTTCATGAGCAAGTAAATTTAAAATGTTTTATGCAATGTCGGGAGCTTGAAATTTATGGTTTAATAAATTTGGATTTTATATTTTGCATTTGATTGTTGTTTATTCCTGTTATTATTCTTATATACTTTGAAAATAAAAGCAAATAGATTTGTCTTTCCTTTCTCCAATTCATGTCTCTAATAAAAATTTGCATTATCAAGTGCAAGTAATAAATAGATGTTTTTGTTTACTGACATTCTATTTTGGAAGTAAAAATAAAAGAACAGATTTTGACTTAAACTTCCTTTAAGCCCATCCGGTAAAACTACATTTTACAATGTTTTAAATACGTGGTTTTTAAGTATAAAATATTTTAATTATGTAAAACTGTATATAATGCTTGCTATAAAAAAGTGCATTGAAACTTTATACTTTGAATCTTAGTAAAATAGCGTTTTTAAAGGTTTTTCTGACGGTTTTACTATCTCAATGGCATTTTTTTTTAATTTCAAGCTCCAAATCCATTGTCTAGTTTAAATGTGCGTTTAAAATGCTGAAACCCAGAAAAGCAGTTGATGGCAATGATGACAATGTTATAGTTATTAAATTATATGAAGTTATAAAAGTTGCGGTTTAAAATAATTCTTCTTGTTCTATCAAGCAAAAACTTTTTTCCCCTAAACATCAACAGTAAAATATAAAATTTTAGTCAAAAGGGTTTTAAAAATAATAATTTTACTGAATACACATTACTTCATCTGACTAAAACACTGAAGATTTGTAGCAAAAACATTGCAGATTCGTTTGAGAAATTACAATTTTCTCCTTAAGTTTTCATTGATCAATCAAAATTCTTTGATACGATAAATGAAAAAACTAAATATTATGCAGTTAGTGAAAATTTTCTAAGCAGTCGTAAACAGTTTGTGAAAGTTGATGTATCCTTCTCTATAAATTTGCATGATGTAACATTTGATGTTTCTCAAGGTTCTATTCTAGGACCAGTTAGGATTTAAAAGATTTTTTTTTTTCTCATGCATATTAATGCCTTAAATTTATAGACTGCTGATTTGCTGATAACAAAAACACTTTTTCATGACATGAATATAATGCTATTTAAAAATTTAAAATGGTTAAAGTCGAATCATCAATCTTTAATATATTTTATAATATTACAACAGAAATTTTATTATTTTAATTTTGAATTACGTTTAGTTTATAACCTAAAACGGAAAATTCTGTCATTTATATTACCTTATTTTAATTATTTCTTTTCTTTTTTTAAATTATTTAAAAATTACAATTTACAAAAAATTAAAAATTTTTTGTAAATTGTAAACATTTTTAAATAACGAAATAATCTAAAATAAATAACTATTTCATTTAAAGGCGTAAAATTCTTTTTCTAAATGATATATTAAATTTATTTTGACGATATTCTCATTAAACATTCAAAGATTATACATTTGGTGTTTTTGTTAATGGAAATACTCACCTGGAAAACTAATATAAAAAATTAAGCAACAAAGTTTCATAAAATATCGAATTATTATACAAAACGTAAAATTTTGTAAATGGACATGTATTACTTCAACTTTATTATTCACTCATCGAATGCCATATAAGCTATGCAATTATCGCATGGATTAGTGCTAAAAAAAGTCAATTAGATTCTCTTTATCAGCATTTAGAACGTCTTTAAAAATTGTTATACTCATGCAAAATCTCTTTAATGCAAGTTAAATGTTTTTAGTATATATCAACTAAATATTTTTAATGTAATTTGCTTAGTATTTAAATGTAAGATCAACTTAACCAAGTTTATGCGAATAATGTTGATGACTAAGATCGATTTTTAGAAAATGCTATAGAGGTTTTTAGAAAATGCTATAGGGGTTATAACCCCTATAGCATTTTCTAAAAATGCTATAGGGGTTATAACCCTATTTTTTTAAAATTTATATGCAATAAAGCCCAAAATTAAATATGATATTAGAAATGACATTTTAAAACATTGATCTTATTCATCGACATTATTAAGATACATATTTTAGATGTTCTTTTATATCTTGGAACTTTTTTTGAGATTCAAAGATCTTTAAAAAATTTAATTTTTCCCAATTAATTTTTAGTTAATGTTGAACAGTGATTTAATTTTTGAACTACTTGGTTATATTTATATCGTTAAACAGTGTTTTTTTTATTATTATTTGGTTGTATTTTTATTATACTGTGTTAAACGGTTTTAGGTGATAGGAAAAAACTTCGAACTTTGAATCATATTAAAAATATTCTTAACTGAACTATAGGATATAGCAAATTGAATAAACAATGAATTTTTGTGAACAAATCGTCAACTTTACAAATTTATACACCCGATTTTTCATTACAAACCAACTCGACCTACTCGTGAACAAAGATGAAATATTTTCAGCAACAGCCATTTTACTAAAGCTAGGGATAAAGTTAAATCGATAACTTCTCTCCTTATGTATTAAATGAATGCCGTCAAAGCTTTTTCACTAAGTCTAATCATGGACGTATAAAAGATGGACGTGCAACCTTTTGTTTTACATCAGAGAAACCGCCAAAATCAGCGAACCATGCGTTTTTTTTTTTTTTTTTTTTTTTTTTTTTTTTTTTTTTTTTGTCTTTTATCAAAGCTTTACAAATACGTGATCATAAATATAAACTAGTTTGTTTACATTGTATAAAAAAAATACCGTACATATAATAAGAAAACTTTTTTTAATACAAATAATAATATATATAAAAAAGTAACACTGTTAAAAGACGCGGGAAACTTGCAGAAGACCATTTTGGTCTTGTCATCAAGAAACCGCTTTTAGTTGCGATATTTTGTATACTTAATTTATTAAGAAATTTCAGTTTGTCAAAGTCTCATGGTGGCATAAGAGTCACACATAAAAAGCTACTAGATAAACAAAAACAAAAAACGGAAAAGAGCTGTATTTGATACACATAAATATATAGTTACATGGTTTGTTATACTTAGTATATTGACATGTACGAAATATAAATAAAATCTAACATTTACTTTGCTTTAAAGTGGATTTTTTAGGGGTTTTTAGTTATTTGTTTTAATATACGTTTGTAAAATTGTTTAAGTTTAGAACAAGTTTTTTTAAAAGTGTTTTCAGAGAACTATGGTTAAGTAGTTTTGTAATTATAGTATTTTTAGCTATTAGTTTGTTGTAGAGGTAAGGGCCGCGATAGGAGATGGAGAAACATGATAGTTTTGTTTTTTTATATGGTACTTTAAAGTTTCCTATTCCTCGAGTTTCATATTTATTTCTATTGCATTTAAAAAATTCTTCTGAAAAATGTAATGGGACAAGTCCGAGTTTATATTTGAGCATGAATATCAAATTTTGGTAAATGTTAATGTTGTAGACATTTAGTGCATTTAGAAGCTTTAGCAAAGGTTCGGCATGAGTAAATTTATCTTTATTAAACACTATTCTTGCAGCATGTTTTTGATGTCGATAAAGTGCCACTAGGTTGGATCTATGGGTACTTGCCCATGCTATATTACCATACGTATAATAGGTTTGAATGAAGGAGAAATAAAGTAGCTTTAAATTTTTTTGGGGTAGCATCGGTCTAGCTTTGTAAAGCATGCAAATGTTGTTTCTTATTTTGGTATTTAATAAGTTTATGTGAGCTTTCCATGAAATATTCTCATCGATAAGTATTCCTAAAAATTTTGTTGCTTTGGTTCTTTCGATAAATTTATTTTCTATTTTTAGAGACGGTAATGGAATTGGTATAGATTTTTTCCTTTGATTGGTGTGAAATAGAATGTAGTTGGTTTTTTCTGTATTCAATGATAATTTGTTTGATTTAAACCAAGTATTAAGTTTTTCAAGTTCAATACCTGCAGTTTCGAAGAGTTCTGCGATAGAAGTAGATGAATAAAATAAGTTTGTATCATCTGCAAACATTATGGCATCAAGTTTTTTTGAGACTTTTGGAAGATCATTGATGTATAGCAAGAAGAGTAGGGGAGCTAGAATGGAACCTTGGGGAACTCCGCATTTTATTTTAAGTAATTTTGAATGGGTATTTTTATCCATAATAACACATTGCTGTCTGTTTATAAGAAAGCTTTCAAACCAATGTAAAGCAACATTTTTAATGCCATATTTTTCCATTTTTTTAAGTAGTATAGCATGATCAACAGTATCGAATGCTTTCGATAGATCAATAAAGATTCCTAGAACAAATTTGTTATTATCAAAAGAGTCATTTATTTTATTTACAAGATCTATAATCGCATGTTCGGTTGAATGTTGTTTTTGAAATCCGAATTGTTTTTTATTCAAAGTATTGTTAATAGTTAGGTATTTATATAGTTTATTGTAAACTATTCGTTCTAGAAGTTTAGAAAAGACAGATAGGATTGAGATGGGTCTGTAGTTATTAAGTGAGCATTGCTCTCCGGATTTAAATATTGGTACAACTTTTGCAATTTTTAATTTGTCTGGAACAGTTCCTGTTGTAATTGAAGATTTAAAAATTTCGAATATGGGTTTGCGTATCACCGGGAAGACACTTATTACTACGTTGCTAGAAATCTCATCAATCCCTGGTGCTTTGTTAATTTTTAGAGAATTTTTTGCAGCTTCGAGTTCATCATAGTCTAGTCCATTGAATTTTAGTTCGCTTTGTTGATTTGTAAGATAGGTTTCAAAATAGGTATTTGGGCATTGAATTTTGGACGCCATGTTGGGGCCGATATTTGCAAAGAAACTGTTGAAATGTTCGGCTATAGAACTTTTATCGTTGTATTCTTTTTCATCCACAACAATTCTATCAGGTAAGGTATTTGTTTTGGTATTTTTTTTCCCGATTGTTTCTTTCATGATGTTCCATGATTTTTTAATATCGCCATTGGTATTTTGAAGTAGTTTTGAGTAGTATATTTTTTTAGAGTTTTTCCTTATTTTTTCAAAGAGATTTTTGTATTGCTTGTAGATAGATAAGTTGACTTCATTTCTGTTTTTTAAATATTTTATGTAGAGTTTTTGTTTTGTTTTAGAGGATTTTTTAATTCCACTAGTAATCCATGGACAGTTCAAATATTT